AGATAAAATACTGCGAGATTTCGACGATGACATGGAAAGGAGTGGAAGTTTTCTATCCAATACAAGGAACAGAGTTTTGCGCCTTGCACGCGGAGGACATAATTATTATATCTTATATCTCTTCCTTTTCTCCTTATTTGTGTTTTTTGTGTTATGGCTTATTTTGAAATTTAGGTGAAGGTAACTGAAGCCTTGATGGACTTGAAAATTGTACAGAATGTGTTGAAGCATGTGGTGATATTTATACTTCAGTAGAACGATATTAAGCAGTTCGTTGTGTCTTGTTTGACATGTCACTTGTATTTTGTTTTATGGTTTTTTTGGAAAACTACTTTTGGGAACATGCCCATTTATATGATAAAAACATACAAATTATAAAATAGTTTTTATTCAGTATATTTGATGAAATCTTAATTTTCTTGTTTCCCTTTTTCCCTGACAAATTCAATGCAAGAGAAGTTTGATTGAATTCTATAGGTGTTTGAACAAATAGAATTAGGTCATAAATGTATTGTTTAATTATAAAAAAAACCATTTTGTTAAAATATCTTGAAAAAATTATAAATATAACAAATTGTCTCTACCAGTATGGCAATTCATAATTTGTAAATGTTCTGGGCAATTTTAATTTATTTTCCTAGTCTTGGCCTGATTCATAGTTAGTTTATACCGTCACTTTGATATTGATTTTCAAAGCCGCAGGACAATATTGTACCATAAATAAAATATTGGGAAGTTCATAACAACTTAATTCTATTAAGGTAACCTGAAAGGTGTTAGCAGATTTTATAACTTTGTTTCTAATATCATGAGAGTTTTCTTTTTTCCCCTGTTTATTTAAGTTTTGAAATCTAGTCTTATTAAAAATTATAGGATTTTTTACAATTTTTCTCTCTGAAATGTTATGCAATTTTTAATGCTGGTCCTTTCCAAGAAATTGAGAAGTATCTACTTTCTTTCATGTTACTTTATCTCATAAATACATACATTTGTAGTAAAGGGGTAAATTACATAATGCTGTGAAAATGTTTTTGGGAACCTCTGAAACTGAAAGCAGTGTTTTTCAAAGTCTCTCCATCCAGCTATAATAAATACTAAACCTTAACAAGATTTTTTGCAAGATGACTGCTCCTGATCAATATGGCCTTTTGTGTGAATTTGGAATGAATCTTATTTTGGAGGCACTTAACTTAAACCCATTGAATAGTTTCAAATGTTTCTCAAAAATGACTAAAAAGTTTTGCTAGAATAGAGTAAATACAAGATGACACATGTCTGACCTTCACTGTTACCTTCATTCTGAAGTGCATTGTCGATAGATTGTTATTCTAAAGGTCCTTGAAATACATACATTGGTATTGTAGGCTGCATTTGCATCAAGAAGTGGTTTCAACAAATTTTATTTATCAATTATGTTTCAAAACATGTACAAATACTTGTAAAGTCAAGGGTCAGCCCCAAGGGGCTTGGGGCAGGTGCACCGAGGCTAACCGTGTAAGGCACAAATGTTTTAAGTTGTATTTGTGGCATGGTGGAGATTCCCAGTCTCGTGTATTACATCAATACTCTGATCCTTGATCTGATTGGTAATTGAGATATCTGAGCAACCTGCCTGTGTATGAATTGAGGACTTAGATGGAATTTATTTTAAATACCCACTCCTAAAATAAATTCCACTTCACCAAAAGCAAACCTAATAAAGGAGACCAGGAAGTATAATGGAAAAAAAAAACCTGAATAATTTTATCTCACTATTAACTAATGAATCATGGTGAGGAGTATATGAAATATCTGCCATCAACCTGAAGTTTGACACTTTCTTTAATACAATCAAACACTATTTCAGCATTTCACATCCACTACAGTATCTCAAAACAGCAAAGCATGGATAGCAAAAGGTATTAAAATTTCTTGTGAAAGAAAGAGCTTTATAAACCCTCACAAGAACACTCATGCAATCGTCAAATAGTCAACTACTATATGCGATATTCAGCCACAGTACTCAAAGTTATAATAAAGGCCAAACAAATGTCAAATGAGTATATAAAAATATCCAAAAATAAAAGAAAAGCTATGTGGAATTTTGTACAAAAAAAAAATTACCAGCAAGTAACAAAACAAAATATTGAACTAGTTCACGAACACAGAAGAATAACAAACCCTAATGGAACAGCCACTATATTCAACAAACACTTCTCTGAAATTGCTGATAGACTACTAAAAACAAGAAATCCAAACACTACACCTCTACAACAATCACCTTTCTTTAAAAACTCTCTTTCTAGCATGTACACCTCAGAAATAACAGAAGGAAATACTTCAAATTGTAAACAAAATGCAAAATAAACAACCCGTTGGAATAGACAACATTCCAGACTTAATAAAATAGATTGCTCCATATATCATCAAACCATTAACATATTTATACAACCAATCACTAACTCATGGCTCCTTCCCAAACATATTTAAATCTGCTGTAATTACACCTATACACAAAAAAACGTAACAAACAAAATGTAATGAATTATAGGCCAATTTCACTCTTTGTCAGCTTTTTCAAAAATCTTAGAAAAACTTCTATGAAAGATTAAAAAAACACTGTTACATTATCACTGTTTCACAACATGGATTCAGGGAAAATCGTTCAACTGAAACTGCTCTACTCACCTTTGTAAATGAAATCCTCACGGCATTAGAGCAAAAAGAAATTCCTGTTAGTCTCTTTCGCAACCCGTCAAAAGCCTTTGACACGATAGATCACACAATTCTATAGTCAAAATTAGAATCTTATGGAATATGAGGAATTGCTTACAATCGAATAAAATCATACCTATCAGACAGAAAACAAATTGTAGTATTACCATACCAAAATAAATAATTATCACTCTGAGCCAAGGGATGTGACATATGGGGTTCTGCAAGGATCCACACTAGGCCTGATTTTATTTCTTATATTTGTAAATGACCTGCCATCCATAATGGAAAACAACAAAACCTGGCTCTTTGGTGATGACACTATTATAACATTCAAAGAAAGAACCACCAAAGCTTTGCAAGACAAAGACATTTCAGCCATCGACAAGCTAGTACAAATGGATCCACCATAACTAACTAATACTAAACCGAGACAAAACAGTCACAATACCCTTCCACAATTCCCACTCAACACAATACTCACCAAATTTAACATTAGAAGGAAACAGCATCACACAAGCACAGAAAACAAAATTTCTCGGAATAACCGTACAATCCAACCTCAAATGGAACTCTCACCTAGAAGATATTAATTCAAAATTAAGCAAACTTAATTATGCTCTTAGAATAATAATAAGAAGAAGAAGAAACAGCACCATTGAGACAGCATGAACAGTGTACTTCGCAAATGTTCACACAGTTCTCAAATACAGTATGATAATATACCATACAAGTACCATAACATAGGCCACCAGAGGCTAAACATTCAAAAGACAAAAGAGCATCATTTGAACAAATACAAAAAGAACAGTGTCCTGCAGACCTAATTTCAAAAAACTTAATACACTTCCACTGCCTTGTATTTTTATTTATGAAGTTATCATATTTTCAAACAAAAATCTAGTAAACAATGACATACTTTACAAATTTAACTTAAGCTTACAACCCAATAACACAAGGCAAGCAATGTGTACAAGCACATTATACCAAAAGAGTATGTTCTCTTAAGGTATACAATTCTTCAACAAATTACCAATACATTGAGAAACACGACTAGACTTGTAGAAAGTTCAAGAAAAAAGTCAAACACTTCCTTGGGGAAAAACTTTTATAGTATTCAGGAATACCTCAATGACTAACATGTGCAATGTGAATTCAGGTGCTAAAGTAGGACTAGGTGTAGAAAGAGAAAAAAATCTGGTCATAACCTGCCTCCTCCTCACCATTTCAAGATTTAATTAAGGAATATTCTAATACTGTTAAATCATATGTAGCTGTTAGCGTTATCATGTACTGGTAGTATTACTATTATTATTATTTTATAAGTAATGTATCTATTATATTTATTATAATTATATTATTATTATATGTAGTAGCAGTAAACTTACTATACCAAGAAAATGATATTTTGAAAAATGAAACTGTACAAATCTTGAAATTTACGTATTTTAAATTAAATTAAGTTAAATGTTCAACTATTTGCTACTAAAAATAATTATCTACTATGTAATATCTTAATATATCTGTAACAAGTATTGTAGTATAATCTCTAGGCCAATGACCCCATCTTGATCAGGTTTTTTGTCCAGTTTCCCTGATCCTTTGAGCAAATGCTGAGATGGCCCCCTTGTTTTGCTTCTGGACAATAAAAATAAAAGTAACTTCACTCGCTGCTCCCAAGGAGATGTATGTGATTATACTCCCTCTAAATATATCATATTTGACTCGTCATACACAAATGTAATTGTATAATGGGTCTGGACTGTAATGGGCGTGGGGGTGTGAAGTACGTCTTCACTGAAAACTATTCCCAGCAGCGGGTATTGTAAGAGAACCTGTAAGGTCTTTTCACTCACTGGTAGATGACAGCTTTGTGGGATGAGGGGGGGGGGGGGGACAAAAACTTAGCCATGGCATAAAATAATACAAAACAAAATAGTACGAACATGTGCCATTTTGTAGTACCGCTAATTTTGTTAGGAAGAATTTGACAATTGTAATATGAAAGTCATATGAATTACACATTTATATATGATTAGTCTTTCGGAGGAATGTGCTTTTGTTTTGAAACTGTGATTAGAGATTTCATTTCTAAATAAATTGAAATCTCTAATCACAGCTTTGAATCTCAGTTTTAGTACAGGTCACTAGAAGGAATACTGACTTTAAAGTCTTTACTTTAGTTAGGTAGTTTATTTAGTTGTAATCTACCAGCACTTACTGAAATCTGTTTTTTACTTGACTGTGATGAGCTGTGGTAAAGGGAAAAATAATGTCCACACAAATACCATATCGCACCTCCAATAGAAAAGTGACAAGTGCGAACTTCCCAGAATTTGCAATTATACATTTCATAGTTCTGTAATACTTGTTATAGATTGTACCAAATATTCACCTCCTAGCGGACAGTAATTTAACTAATTCAAAATCAACTTCAGAATAGTAGCAGTACCTCTTGGTAACCTCTTATCAGCTATTTAGCTGCAAAATGACGATCTTGCACTTTTGTCACTTTTCTATTGGAGGTGCGATATAAACTCTAATATTGATCTGTATAAAAGCACATCTTGCCTACACAAAATACCATAGGCATGGAAGGAATAAGTTAAAACGGTTTAAATTCAGCATATATATTTTTTTGAAAATAGAACATACCTTAAACTTACATATATACAACTGTAATGCTTTATTACATCACAGAATTTTTAAAAAATATTTATACAACAGATACATTCAAGAACATATAATAAATTTGCATTTTTGAAGTCTATTTATATTACGAATAATCTCAAGAACATTTAACAGGATGGCAAGATTACAATACAAAATAGTGTTGCTCTTTGAGCATTTTTTTCATTGTACATATGATCAATGTTAGTTCGGACATACTCAAATGAAAATGTCAGGTTATATCTTAACACAAAAGATTTGTTCAGTTTTTCATATTGCACAATGTAAAACATTAAAAAGATCTTTGAAAATTTAAAAAATTAGCTAGAAGAGAAACTGGTTTATAAAATAATTAGGTACAACAGAACTCTTACTTTACACTTGACTGATTCATCATTTACAAATATTTCAGACTCATAATAAAATCTGATCTCCATCAATTGTCTTATACAAACTTCATTTACACACAATAAATTACTATTCTGTACAATATTGAATCTTAGCTCATAAACACAACCAAAAATAAATTAATCTCAAAGATCAACTGAATAACTGATATTCACATCTAATTAATTATAACAAAAATAATAATTTTATAGACACCTCTTTTTCAATACATTATATTCCTCATATTTTTACAAGCGTAATTTAAATTAATATGTATATTTGTTTTAAGAAATTCATTAAAATATAAAATGTTCAACAATTCATGTGAACAGATTTTTACAACTTTATTTTGGAGGGAATGTAACTCGGCATGGTTGTTAATGTTAAAAAATTTTCCTGAAGAGATTCATAAATTAGGAAGGCGGTACATTTTGACAAGATTTTTATCAGCTCTTTAAACTGATGTTTTATCTAAAATTAATAGGATCAACTTTAACATACGAAATTCTGTAACTTATCTTAAATATTATTATTATTACTAGGAAAGTTATGTGTAAATTCATGATACCACAGAGAATGAAGGAGTAATATGCAAGTCAGTTTTAAAGAAAATGGACGGAAAATGTAATGTGAGAAAATGGATGGTATTAACAGTGAATCATTTCTTAATATTTTGAAAGAGAAGGCATTTCTATGCCATTTTATAAAGCACTTGGGATATTCCTCACACAGCTGTTTTCTACTCATGGCACCCAACTGTTTAAAGCATCACATCAACATCTGTCCAGACTACAGCAATAAGTTTGAGGGCTCATAAATGTATTAAATATAACATATACACAATTTAACAAATATTTTGCCACATCTAGAAGATGAAGATTGGTAATAGTAGTATCTGAATTAAATTTCAAGAATGTAATAAATGAAAAGAATTGTTACTTAATTGTAACAGTTGACAAAACAATATCATAATCTGTACATTAAGCACAGAGACTTTTCCCCACAATGAAACCTTAGACCAGGACTATTGATTCCTGATGTACTATGGCTGGACATTAAAAAAAGTCTATGAACTTTCATCATTCAGAGAACTTTCCGACTCCCAATATTATGAAAGCGATACATGCTTCTTTTTCCTAGTGTAAATGGCATAACACTCAAATCAATTCATTAAAATCACTGACAAGAAACCTAGGAGCTTTTCCATAGAAGTGCTTTTCATACTCATCACTTAATAAAATACTGTAATGATCATTAGGAGAACTCTTGAAATTACTAGTAAAGTGAACCATCTTTTCTAAATTTTACAAAAAAGATTTAGTTTTCAAGCACAAATCAGTTATTCATGAAGACATTGGAAAGAAAGAATAATTTCTGAAGCACTGAATTCATACAAATGTTAAAGGCGTTAGAAATTATTTTATTCATATAATCACGATATTCATCTGGAAGATCAGAATATTTACACTACTATCAGTCTTTCATTTGTTGAAGTGATGCCACTGACAAATTCCCATGAAATATGCAACTTCACAGGAAACACAATGTTAAATAAATGGCCAATGGATGAATGTTCTACACAGTTATTTAACATACATAAGAAACTGATAATATTGAGCATGTAAAAATTGCATTAAAAACATTCTATGTGGGACTATTCTCCTGATCTTGCATCACATTGCTTGTGACAACAAATCGTCTTTCTTGATTATTACAGAATAATTAATATGGATTTTAATGGAATCTGCCAGCAATACTACAAATATCAAACTTCTAAATGGTCTTCCCTTTCATACAGTACAAAGAGTATTTTGGAGCACTTTAAAGTACTGTTTCTAGATAATATAAAATACTAGTAATATCATATTTGGAAAATTTAACTAACGTATTAAAATACAGGAAGCACAAAATAGCAGGTAATTCATGTTTACAAGATTTAAACCTTCTGAGTTTGACATGTTACCAGAGAAATAACTCTTTATATTTTTCATAACGATAATAATAAATAATATGAAGATGAAGCAAGACTTGTTTGGAATTATATGTGTAATTCAAAGTGTACATTTCTTATATAAATAAACAGAACTTACAAGTAATTTAGCACAGTAGTAAGAAAGGCTTATCCTTTATTAATCTCTATGTACATATTATGTATTGTATGGAGGAAAGAAGTAAAATTGATAACTTTAGGAAACAGTTCCCTACCATCTCTCCTCATTGAATTCATTTCATCCTCAACATGTTATCTTACTGCTATGCTCCTTTCCATAATCTCAGATGCGAAGTCATCTTCACAGAGCATAATATTAGCAAGTGGGTTTCTTGAGCCAGCTTATGGCACTTAAGGGGCATAGGCTTTTCATAAGAGAATCTCTCAAAAGCAAAAATTCAGTGGATGAAAGATACAAAATATAAGCTGTAAGAAGTCATCAATGCCTCAGGCAAACAGGAACTATCTCCTGCACTCAGAACTTAAATATAAGACATTCCACCAGTACTTATTATTTACAAATTAACAGATCATCACCCTCTACAAACCATGCCTTCTTCAGCTGGGCTCACGACAGTTTTCAATGTGACTTGCTAGAACTTCACTGAAGCGTAATTTACCAATGTTCATGTGAATAGATTCAATGGACTTAAAAAGTTGGTCCGCAGCAAGGTCATCTGGTAATTTTGTGAGAAACTGAGCTCCATGAAGAAAATCCAACTGAAGTAGCACATCTTGATGAAGATGAAGTACACCTAAAATCAATATTCAATTCAGAAAATAGAAAAGACACATGCTGATATTAACATCAAGTCTAGAGTTAAAACAGAGTAAGAATTATTACTTTTCATTAAATAGAAGTTGATGCATACCGGGTAACTGGAACGTGAATTTTAATCTATTTCACATAGGTTATGTTTTTACTGAAGCTGCATGATCAATACAAATTTTTCGCATTATTAATTATAATAATAATAATAATAAATAATAATAATAACCATAACAATAAAAATAATAATAATTATTATTATTACTACTATTAAAATGAAAATAAATGAATTTTTCTACATAAAGATGTCAATATATGAACACTGAATAGGTAGGCGTGGGGGATCATCAACATCATCATCATTGTTATTGTTAGCATTATTGGGTTGAAAAACCTTACCTAAGGCAGTCTTGAAAAGAAATTCTTCTCCATCTCTAAGAAACACATCCCACACTCTACATGCAACATCAAGAGGCATTGCTTTGGCAAACACTGTGTAGAGCCAGTCAAGCAAGTACAAATCAGCACTCAATGATGACGAGTTGAAATGAGAGAAAAGGCGAGGTAAATTTTCTCTAAAGAAATCATTGTACGTTTCATAGTAGGACCGCATCTGTGAACAAAAGACATACTATTAATAATAAAATATAATTTTTAGCATAGGGATAGTGATGGCAGAATTTTATACAGGAATTTTCAAATGGCGTGTGGTAAATTTTTGTTGTCTTGATGTACTTCAACAAAAACACTTAAGATACATTTCACAATGGTTTTATAGCATTTCTTAGATTGAAGCAGATATTTTGCTTTTAGATTATGTTAAGATTAATTAATGTATGTAGATAATAGACACTATATTTATGGTATTGAAGGTAATGAGGTAATAATACCATAGAAACTTAATATTTTATGGTCTCAAAATGATAAGTATCTGCACGATTTGAAAAAAATTTACAGAAGAGCACTTAAAAGTCTGGAAGAGTATATTAATGATTAAAAATACCATTTAATGTTGTTCAGAGCATGTTTTCTACACATCTGATTTGAAAACTTTAAATGTAGATCTGAGAGGAGAGACTTCAGAGGTGTCAAAACAATTCTTGCCAAAAATGGCAGATAGAACCAGTGGTGGCCTTTGGCGGCAGTCTGGGGGATTCAACCCTCCTACAATTTACTCAGTTGCCACTAGGGAGAAAAATTAAAAACTATATCTAGCCTCATGCATTCAATTACTTTCGTTTCTTCCTTGCTCACCATTGACAGGTGAGTACAAGAAGCCACTTCACCCATGTGGACTGCCAGGGCATTACGTTTCTCCTCCAAATGCATATTCCCGATTTTACTACCAACTCTTTTTCTATTTTATCTCTGGCAGACCTACAGAGTACTGCAACTAGTGCAGTCTGACCTTCACAAGTTAATGGTACCATTAGATTGTCAATTCACACTTCCAACATTAAGCAACAAGACATCATTTTGGCCATATCCCCTAAAAACTCTTGAGCACTAAGGTAAAGTTTTTGAAAGCAGCAGAATGGTAGATGCACCATGGACAGTCACTGGGTACATCCTAAACATTTTGAGGCTGTGATTTGTTGACTTTGTTTAAATTGGTACAGTAATAATATTATACAATAAATATCATGTGTTTAATAAGAGTTGTAAATAAAACTAAAAATGTTTTTCCGAAATTCAATTTCAGAATAATGAATTTTAGTAAGTAAACAATAACCAGTTTAACAAAGTGAATAATATATTCATTGCATACTATTAATTTTAGGTTATTCCCCTAATATGTGGTAACAATAGCAGATCCTGATGATTAACTTTCATTTCAAAGAACATAATTCTTGGTACATGGGTGGAACATTAATTCAGCTTCTTTACTTGAATTGTTAACTTTTCAAACTTGGGATTATTTATTTAGTAATAATATTCATACTAATAATTTCATATGAAGTTTCTAGGTCACAAACTGAATTTGTGTGCCTCCAACATATCAGTCATTTCCGTCTGAACATTTACCAAAGAACTGAAGCATCAATACAGTAAATATTATGATTACTTAAAAGTTCAAGAGAAATAAAGAAATACACACAAGAGGTTCATTTAGACGAAAGAAGGCCATATGGCAGGGCTGATTAAGAAGATTTGCGAAACATATGAAAGCATCTGCTGCTTCCATGTTGAGAATTAATATAGCAGCAATAAATGACATTCCTTGCACATATCCAACATCTGGACGATAACAAACATATGCACCCAAAAGACAATGCAAGATGTCGTAATAAGGTCCACCCTAAAAATAAAGGAAATATAACAGAATTAATTTATTAAAATATGAAAATTAATTTCCAATTCATAAACATTATATTTTCATATAACTTGAAAAGTGAACAGCCTGATTATTATTATTGTTTTTTCTTTTTTATACAAAACTCAAATGGTTCATACCTTCTGAAATATGCAAAGATTTGGGAACGTGCGTGCTATGTCCAATTGGATTAATTCAACACTTGCTTCTTTATCTGGGTTATCCAATTCAAACTCTGACTTCCCTTCAAGCAATTCCGTTGCTGCTCTCAGTCTCTCTTGGGCTCTGAGGAGCAAAGATAAAATATTTATTACAAGTGGATATTTTCTAATCTCTTTGTTGAAAACAAGCTGTGTAAGAGCTCAACTTAAATGTCACAAAAAAGGACACACATTAAGCAAGCACTTAAATGCACATACTACTCACATACACAATGAAGTATAACAAAGAAAATGCCTCTATGATAAAAAATTTTTTTTACCTCTTGAAACATTAATGAAAGAGAAATATACCCTATTCTGTTTTTGTTGTGATCATTCTAGAAATCTTATCATCACTTCACTGAAATATTTTCGTTGATATCGTTAATGTCCTTTTTTCCATCAACAAAAGGGAAGAAAGAAAAAAGGACATTATTGACAAGTAAAGCACTGAGACCAATAATTTGACCTAGTTAACCAGTAAACATCCTTGAAAAACTAATAATTTATGTTGAAAAGTAGACAAAAGATGTTCATGAAAAAGATTTGATTTTCATGAACCTTTCTAAAGGCTTCTAATATACATCCAAGCATTATAAAATACGAAACATTCTAAGCAATTTCCATTTTGTCTTCTTTGCCTATATATAGGATAGATGCCAAGGCAATTAAAATTATTTATGCTTTTTCCTTTCCTTCTATTTTGAATTTTTATTGCCATTTTCCCTACTCATTTTCAAAGTTCTTAATCCCTCTTTAGGTGCCTAAATACAGGTTTTCAGTGATTTAAAATCCGAAGTCTACTGATAAGTGTGTTTCTTCAACAGTGCTTCTTTAATGCTATGGAGACTATATCACTATTTTGCTGAGAGACAAATCAATTTTTTTTTCTGGAAATGTATAGGAATGACATATACATTACAAAATACCAGTGTAGTGATACAAATGTTTCCTCACAATAAATTTGACAAGCACAAGAAAGCCATTACATCAGTAGAAACATTTAAAAAAAAAAGGATTCTTTAAATTAATTATTAATTTCTACCAAATTTTGAATTTTGCAATGAGACATCATGTTACCAACAGATGTAACTGATACATCAATAAAAGATTAATTCCACTAATTTTGGTAGGTTATTTTCTGGGTATCAGAATTTGAAGATTTTTACATTTACAATTTAATCTTGTATTTTGTTGATAAATTAACATAACAAAGATGAAACCTTTGTGAAAGGATGCTTACAATAAAATGATCACACATGGAATTTAAATAGAAATGGAGAGTGAGACATAGAGCAGAAGAATGGGTATGAAAGCAGGAGACAGGGCAGGCTCATTTTCTTTTGTTATATACGTTCACTTGTCTGACATTCAAAGCATTGAATACAATATGTACTTTATTTTCATTTTGTCAGACATATAATATTGGTATTCTTTATATACAGTATTATTCTGAACTTTGAATTTAGCACATTACTAATGTCAAAAAAATTTCTCCTTTTGTAATGCCTGAACCCATAACAACTATTCAAAGAAATTCCCTTGTGTTTCTGTTCTGTGCTGTTGTGTTCAATTTATTCTAAAAACACTGCAAGTATTATCAAAAAAGGCAGTGCAGTAACTTTACCTAGAGACACAAATGTTGTACAGTTGGTGAGTAATATTTAAATCATTCCCAATAGCTAATCGCCACACTTTGCCCCTCACAGATGGTGGAATCCCTTGCCACCACAGCTCCTGTGCTTTACGTGAGGATTTCCTGAAACAAGGCAAGACGTGTACAAATTAATCTTAAAGAAGATAGTACAGAAAATAATGTTCTTCACAAAAATATTTATGCAAGGTAACAGTGAACAGATAGCAAATTATGCTGTGAAATGGTCACAATTAGAATTACAGTTAAAGGAATTTTATTACGTAAATACTTTAATTACTCGAAGTAACATAAGATTTTCTACACTTCTTTTTGTTGAGAATACTCTCAGATTATGGTAAGAGAACTCCACGACTTAGCCTGCTACAAATCTCTTCACATCATGTAATAATGGCAAATATGATAAGTTGTTCATAATTTTTAGAGAGTTTGAAGCATTAGTCTCAAATAAAAAAAATGAATAGTATATGGAATGATAATAGTTTGAAATAACAATGAATTGTGAAGGATGCAATTGTATTTTTACTTACATAATATCCCATTTTGGCAAAACCTCATTGTTCCAAATTCGAGCAGCACTGGCAAGCTGTTCTTCTAGTTTTAATTGCTGTTGCAATTGCTTTTTACGAAGCTTGGCTTCTTTCATTTCTGAGAACAAAAATTTGTTGAACGCTAAAACAACTACATTTGAAATTATTGTTTATGTATCTGTTCTCTGATGATGTTAGGAACCAAAGCGAGTAACTTTTTGTGCAAGTTGAATAAAAATTATCTTTCATAACTAACGTCAAAGGTGTCTCTAACAAAGAAAATTATTTGATATCTCCGTATAGAAATCAACGATGACATTGCCATGAACAACACAAAAATATGATTTTACAAAATAAAATATTCTATTTATACATGTATATTCATACTTTAATGGCTTCCTAACCAGCACTGCTAGAAAAAAAACCTCTAAGGTATTACTGCATCACCAATGTTCTTGTAATTAATATAACAATAATTTCTTGAAAAACAAAGTTAAGACACACAAGCTTAATGTGGCAAATAAACTTTCCTCAAAGCAAATTTTAAAACATTTGGAATTTTATGCAACAAAATTAAGTAGACTGGAAAATATAAAAGTAAAAGGTAAAGATGAAGATCTCATGGAAATGGGAATTCATCATTACACAAAGAAGAAATTCAAATAAACATCTTATAATTTCCAAAAATCACGAAGTTTCAATGAAAATGCAATGATTTAAGAACATATATCTGTACATACATACTATATATTATACATACATACAATACACTTGCACAGAATATACATACACATACTAAAATAAATAAATTAAAAAAATTAAAAAGCTACTCAAAATACATGGGATTTCATTGAAACTCCCAGAATCACAACTTTAGACTAATGAGAGGCACGATATGATTTTTTTAAGAAAATAATATAAACATTTATTCCGAGCTAGTTGTCAAGGTCATGAAAACAGGTGGTTTTCACATTTCCAATGATAGGGATTCTCAAAACACATTTCAATCAAAATCTTTGTAATTGAACTAATGACAAAATGGATGATGAAATGAAATGAAAAATGATTTCTAATAAAATGCAATTTTAGTTTGTGTTGTTTTCCTTTTCTGGATGTATTTGTTCAATGAACAATACACACATTTGTAAAAAAGAAATTCCCCTTTTAAGATTTCACTAGACCACATACCTTTTTTTCGAGCAGCCTCTACCATGCGCTCATATTCATGACGATGCTTCTGTTCTTCATCCTGAGATTTTGCTGGTAAGTTGGAGGGTCTTTGATGAAGGATAAGAGCAGAGCTGCTGGCCACAATGTCTTCATACTGCTTTGCCCCACTCGATGGCCGGCTGTCACCTTCCTGCAGCACACAATTACCAATACTTTTTCTATAAAAAATAGAAGCTAGCTTCTGCACCTCCACTTCACTTGTGCACTTCCGAGTTAGCCAAGTCAGTTCATTAGAGCTCTCTCTGGTACAAGGAATCGCAAGTTATTATTAAGTTTAATTATTAGTATGCAATTTAAATTCTCAGGATGACCATGACGAGAAATTCATCCTGACATGGGAACAAAAGTTAGGAAACAGGTTTTTCAGTCCTAGTAGTCTATTGTGGTACCATAGCATTCCTACTTTGAGAAGGAGCTTGTTTCCTGATTCAAGCTACGAAAAGCCCCTCATGTCTTAGTTGGGAAGGAATCTGTAATCTACAACACCTGGGAATCTGATATATACCCTAAGCAGAAAACTTACCTCTTCTGACGTTTCATTCCGCAACTTAGGTGCCTTTCCGAACAGCTTCCAGCTGGGAGAGTTGGTGCAGCTGCTACCACTACTGTTAGAGGGAGGGGAAGGATCTCTCGAGAGCTTCCATGAAAACACGTTTCTGAAACAAACAACAAACACATTAGTGAAAATGTGCCTCAGGTTGGAGCAATTTAAATTATTTCAATCTATTGTAATTAACATGATTTCATTGATAATATTTGTTGTGGTGAATATATGGCAGTCACATCCACATTTGCAAGTCAATATTTTTTAATAAATTACATTTTTTAACAATGTCATATGGGCTTGGTAACAACAGAAAGGAAAAGAAAAAAAGAAGGGGAAAAAGAATAAATAAAATTGAAAACGATTGTGTCATGTGCTGCAAATAGTTTTCAAAATGGATTTTTAGAAGAAAATAAAAATAGGTCGGAATATCCTACATTTTTAATCCAGCAAAATGCTATGGAATAATGGAATTTTTAGACACCCCTTCCACCATGAATTCGAAATGCAAAATCTCATTAAATCGCTCGATACATCCACAATTAGGTGTATATAATATTAGTCTGAAGTTTAAATTACCTTTAAAAAAACATAAATATAGTAGAAGAATCATCAGATCATCTGCAGTTGGTAAATATTTCTAAAACAAACTTCTGACAGGTCATTTTGTAATTTATAAAGCAGAGAGTTGGAGGTTACTAAATCAGAAATGGAGATTTGTTGGGAATTAACTTCTATTGAGGATGAGGTGCAAGAAGGGCACTATAGGGCAAATTTTTTCCAAATAGTTGATAAATGGGTACCTGGAACCATAGAACGTCCTGTAATAAAATAAAATTATACTAACTCCTTTTGACTTTGAAAGGAAATTTGAAACTTTCAATCAGCTTAAACATTGTTTCTACAAGTGTTACAATGTACCACTTGTCCTTCAGCTGCAAGATAGACTTCTTTTTCTTCCTTTTTTATTTTCACTGAACTGTGCAATTATTTCATAATTTTTTTTATTTATATTCCTGTATATCTAGGACATTCTAAATCCACATGAAAATGTTTTGAAACTAAACAAAATATATATCTCATTGAAGTTTTTTCTTCTGACTTCAGACAAATTTACATTTTTCAATCAATGATTTCCCAACATATTTTTAATAATATTGTAAAAAAACACATACATTATGACAAATATAAAATTTCTAACAATTATTACCAATTTTTTTTCAATAATCAGTCTGAAATGTTGATCTCAACCCTAAGCATAACTTACCCCTTGAAGATTAAAAAGAGATTCATAAAAAAATTAAAGATTATTGTGTTTTCTGGGAGTGAACTTTTCTAAAACCATGTCATACGTGCATAAATACAGATGAAACCCTTTTCTATATGAAAATAGATCAGTGAATATCTTAAATTACTTTAATTGATGGCAGAAGTGCAACCAGGATTTTATGAGGGGAGGGGGTGGGGAAGCAAACATCAAGAATGTAGACATTTTCTTATTAAGAATTTTTCTTTTTAAGCTGAGTATTAAAATAGTTTCTATTTGTTGACGTTTCATTAATATTTATAGACCCAACATTAAAAATTGACATACTGAGTGTCTTTTGTGGGAATAGAAAATTGGTAAAAGAATATACCCTGCCCCTAAGTGCGCCATTAAATGACAGTAATTCGTTGAATTTTGTATCAATGTTACATGTTTGCATTGGTAATAATTCCGTTTTACAATGCTTACATTACATGCAACACCTAATGCATCCTACACAGGAGTGTATAGAATTTTAAGGTTTTGGTATTTCAATATTTTGCATGAGATGCTGACTACCTTACCCTTAAACACTTTTTTAAATATTTGCCACATATGAATAGCATTCAGATCATATTGTAGATGATGCAAAAGTTTCTCTGCAAGGAGTGTTCGTCGCTAAGACACTGTCGTGAGAAACAATTTGTTGCCTCTCAGCACTTCAGACACACTATTAAGACAAGTGGAAAATAAACATACTTCTGTTGTCGATTATACTCCGGACATTTTTTAAAATGCTTCCGGGCTGGTGTGAAGTCACTACTGTTTGGTTAAGACAAAAGCCTATCAGCGAAACAAACCATTGATTTACTTTACCCGGAGAAAAACACCGCGACTACGGAACTACCAAAATTCACTAAAATTTTCTATTATCCGCGCACGTTTTCTTGAGCACCATTTCACTATATGCGCGAGGAGCGGTAATTTGATTATTTCGAAGGCAAGACTATCTTATACAAACTGTAGCTCAATTTTCGACGTGAAATAGTTTCTATTACATAAGAGCGAAAATGCATGGTAATCAGATCTGGTAAAGAACGCGGATGTTACATTTTATTCTTCAATCTGCTAATACTAGTAAAGGAGAGGGGGAGGGTAGGAATTCCCAGGCTCAAGAAAACGTCCACTTTAAATGGTACGTAGTAATTGTTATTGCGAATTTACAATGATCGCAGAATCACTTCCTTTGTCGAACAAGTTAGTTTTCTACTCTCTGAGCCTAGCAGCTTCTCGGTTTCGCCCCACCGTCTTCCCCGCTGCCATTTAATGATACCTAAAAGTCATGTTATAATAATAATATGAATAATATTAATAATAATGTGAATAATATTAATAATACTATTAATAATAATAATAATAATAATAATAATAATAATAATAATAATAATAATAATAATAATAATATTTATATTTATTTCTGGCGAGGCTCAGACAGTAAAGATTGAAGGGCTCTCCCGTCTAACCACTTACATCTTCACAAGTACATTTACCCAAACACAATTGAGTTGATCCGGATAGCCGAGATCGCTAAGGTAGTAGTCTCTGGCGATCTCTGATTAAAGGATCGCGGGTTCGAATCTCGATTCGGGCATGAGTGTATTAGTGATCATCTCTTCACCTTTCATCATCATCATCCTCCTAACACTTCATTAAAAAAAAGGTTTAGAATCTCTCTGCGCGAGGCTCTTGCCCCTAAATGGGACGTGTAATTGGTTTAAAAAAGCCTAATCGTTTTTGAAACATAAGTTGAGTACTTTTCGGGTAATTCTGCGTTAAGGTAGGGCGAGAAAGTAAGTATTGTTTTAGCGCCACTAGTTCGCGTAGAGAATGGGTACAAATAGTAAGTCTGTTCAATATTTAAAAATTGACATTTAGAAGCTTAACTCAAGAAAAGTACGATGTAAAAGCTCGCGGGAGACTTACATCGGTACATATCTCGATTCATTTCCAAGTTTTGAATGCAGCCCCCATTGATTAAAAGCACCAGCCACCATCTTACCTTTCATAATACAAAAACCTAAGTGCCCAATGGAAATGAAACGTGCGCGGCACGTGAACACGACACTGACACTACGCATAAAATTCTGTGTTTCAAAGTAGACCTATTTAAATTAGTTTTAATTGATGTACACAAATTGTTTACATTTTATTATATACCAGTGTTCTGAATTTTGGAATTTCCGTCATTCGATTGAGGCGCAACCTCCTGTCTGTTGGGGCTCCAGCCGCTCTGGTTGACCTCTTTACGTAAAAAACTGCGTAAGTTCAAAATTTTTCGAACCCCTCGTACTTCATTTTTACTTTCCCGTACACCTACGTGTATACGGAGTAATATAGTGTGGGGAAAGTTATGTAATGCTGCTGAAAATTGATTTTGAGATTTCAACGGAAATGTACGTTTTGGGGTTCCCTGAAACCTAAAAAGTATTTTCAAAATGTCCTTTCGTCTGTCGTGCGAACACCACAAGCCCCTAAACCATACGTACGATTTTTCCAAAATATTCCCCGGGCGATCTGACTCCACTCAAGGTACCGCGATTTTGTAAAACTTTCTTTAAAATTTGAAAGCCCCTGGACATTTTAAAAATTGTCAAAAACGGCTCCACTTTTTTCTTTACATTTCTGGTAAAAATAGAGTAAAATATACCTATGAAGGAGGCTTATGTCCGAGTTTCACAGTTAACTTTGAATTTTCGAATATGGCAAAAGTTTAATTTTTTTAGGCGCTTTTCCTTCAACTACAAAATTAGACAGATTTTTCGTTCAAATGAAATTTGTTATCCATAATTACTTCTTTCATTCAAGTCATGTAAATTTTTGTGAATATTTTAATCATTTTCGCGCAATATTGCGTGCAGTAAGAACAATTTTTTAAAAAATACAAAAAACAAGATTTTCTCAAAATCAGCTCCAAATTTTTTTCTTCATACTTTTGGTGGGGATATTGTTGAATACACTCTATAAGATGACAAATGCCATATTGCTCTACACTTTTGTTTTTTTCAAAAATTACAAGAATGTATTTTTTTTACTTGTATCTCACGTTAATATTTACACTAGTGGCAATTCGTTCACATTATACTATTTTTGAGTACATGTGCTTTTAATGCCATGTACAGTTTCTCGAAAACTCTACCGTTTTCTATGAAAAGAAGCTCAAATTTCCGCATTTTCAGAAACGCTCATACGATATTTTCTTAAATACGGCTGTTTCTTCGAACATTGGGAACGGATGCACTAACTGCACTCTTTAATATGACAAATTTCTTTGGGATTTCAAATATTACACTCTTGTAATTTTTTTAATGATATCTCACGCCGTTAATATTACACATTTCCTGCAATTTGTAATCACTTATGTATCTGTGAGTCAATGTGCTTCAAATGAAGTTTTTCCGAAATCTCAAAAACTTTCTGTGAAAAAAAATAAAAAAAAATTCAAATTTCAAATTTACAGCAGCGTTTAAGCGTCATTTTTTAAAAAAACGGCTCAAAATTCTTCAAAGGAAATTGCCATTTAGGATGAAATTTTACTGTTCTTTAATATTCTTAAAGTATTATTTCCGTTCTATAATTAGAAAACCGAAAAATTAAGAAAATTAAAAAAAAATGTACTTTGGGCGGCGATAGATGGCAGCTGATAAGAATATGTGGCAAGTTTGTACAGCAAGCCGAGACCAAAGGAAATTGAAAACTAACACGGGAAAGTCTATGCCATTCTGTAGCACGACTAAGTACTATCGCGCACTTACTAACGTAAGAAAAAGTACTGTAATCGTGCGCCGGAAAACGGCGAATTTTCGACA